TTTTAAAAAAAAATTTATTTTCTTAACTTTAATGAAAATTTACAGAGATTTTAGATTTCCGTTCATTGTTGCACTTTTCTCCCTGATCACCCCTCCCCCCCCAGTTCGCTCCTCTCTTTGAAAACTAAAATTCTTTCAGTGGTATGCAATACCCCCCGCCCCACTCCCCCCTCCACCACCCTGAGTACGCTCCACTATACAACCTTAATTCTGGACTCTTGTGAGAACCATAATACCCTATCATATATTGCTTTTAAAATGTTCTGTCCCTCATCTGTTTCAATGCAGTATACATAATTTATCCAGTTTTTCTCAGTCTTACCCCAACGCTGATGTCAGTCTCATTCTACAACACTGGCACCATGCAGTATTTGTCCTTTTGTGACTGAGATACTTCACTCAGCATATTGTCCTCCAGGGTTACCCATTTTGAATAATATTGCATGGGTGCCTTATTTTTCAATGCAGTGTGGTATTCCATTGTGTGAATATACCACAACTTCTCTATCCATTTGTTTGTTGATGGGCACTTGGGTTGTTTCCAACTCCTTGCTATTGTGAACAAAGCCCCAGTAAACATGGGTGTGCATATATCTGCTTGGGTGTCAGTTATAGTCTCTTTGGGGTATATTCCCAGTAGTGGAATTGCTGGGTCAAATGGTATCTCTATTTGCAACTTTTTGAGAAAGTGCCACACCACTTTCCACAGTGGTTGCACCATTTTACACTTCCACCAATAGTGAATAAGGGTTCCAGTTTCTCCACAATCTCACCAGCATGTGTTGCTTGCTGTTCTGTTAAATTTTGCTATTCTCACTGGTGTGAGATGATATCTCATAGTTGTTTTGATTTGCATCTCTCTTAGAGCTAGGGATTTTGAACATTTCTTCATGTGCTGGTTGGATATCTGAATGTCTTTTTTGGTGAAGTGTATATTTTTTTTAAAAGCTCTTTTGGCATTTGTATAAAATAATTTGTGAAGTTAATATATCTATATGGCCATCCCCCAAAAAATGTACATGAACAACTAAAATCTGATTTTGTAACCAACAGGAATTTTTGTTCATTTATAATCAATAGGGAAAAACTGTCTAGATATTGGAGCCATTCTAGATTTTTATCTGTAACATGTACTAACTGAATTCAGTATTCAAGTTTTATATTATTAAGGTCTTCTTGATAAAAGTTATTCCATCCACCTCCACTGTCTGCAGTTTTCTTTATAGCTTCTCTCTGGGCAGCATGCTCTCAGATCTCTGCACAGTCTAAAGAAGGTATTACTGCCACACACGTGCACTGATTAATGACCAAAGTCTCCAGCAATAATGAAAGGTGTCTCTTATGAAAAAAAGCAAACAAACCCAAACCCAAACAGAAAAAGACTTGTTGTTGTTGTTGTTATGTGCTGCCAAGTCGCTTGCGATTTATAGCAACCCTATATACAACAACCCTAAACTTTGTTCTGTCCTGTGCCAATCACACTGTCTCTGACACTCCCATCCTGATTATACCAGTCACTGAATCAATCCACCTCATAGAGGGCCTTCCCCTCCTGCCCTGTCCCTCCAAGCATGATGTCCTCCAAGGACCGGTCTCTCCTTACAACATGCCCAAAGCATGTTAGACCGAGCCTCAGAATCCTTGCCTCCAAGGAGCCGAGCCACCCGGTTTAACCCTTTCCAGGATGAATCTGTTTGTTTCCCTACCAGTCCATGGTACTCTCAATACTCTTCTCCAGCACCACAGCTCAAAGGCAACACTCCTTCTATCCTGCTTGGTCATTGTCCAACTCCTTGATGCATAACAAGTGATTGCGAAGACCATGGCCTGTATCAGACGCACCTTAGTCTCCAGAGAGACACCATTGCTCTTCAGTACTTTGGAGAGGTCCCTAACAGCAGACTTTCCCATGGCAATGCGCCTTTTAATTTCCTGGCTGCTGGTGCCAAGACTGTTGACTATGGAGCCAAACAAACTAAAGCTGTGTACAATCTCAATCTCTTCACCATCCATCCTGATGCTACCAATTGGTCCAGTGGTGAGAAGTGAGAATCTTTGTCTTCTTGACAATGAGCCTCAATCCATATTGGAGGCTGCAGTCCTTGATCCTCTGCAGCAAGTGCTTCAGGTCCTCCTCAGTTTCAGCAAGCAGGGTTGTGTCATCTGCATAACACAGATTGTTGATAGATCTTCCACCAATCTTGACACCACATTTCTCCTCATAGAGCCCAGCCTCCCGCATGATCTGTTCTGCATACAGGTTGAAAAGGTATGGAGATAGGATGCATCCCTGGTGTACGCCCTTCCCAATTTTGAACCATGCAGTGTTCCCTTGCTCTGTTCTGACGACTGCCTCCTGGTCCAAGTATAGGTTTCGCATTAGAATGATCAAGTGCTCTGGGATTTCCATTCTTCGCAGAGTCAGCCACAGTTTGTTAAGATCCACACAGTCAAACACCTTTGCATAGTCAATGAAACACAGATAGACAATCCTCTGGTATTCTCTGCTTTCAACTAAGATCCATCTAACATCAGCTACAATATCCCTAGTACCACGACCCCTTCTAAACCCAGCCTAGACTTCTGGCAGTTCTCTGCTGATGTGCTGTTCCAGTCATTTTTGGATAATCTTCAGTAGAATTTTGCTTGAATGTGAAATCAATGATATCGTTCTAGTTTCCACACTCTGTTGGGTCACCTTTCTTTGGGATGGGAACAAATATAGATCTCTTCCATTTGGCCAAGTGGTTGTTCTCCAGATTTCTTGGCACAACTTGGCGCGCCAAAACCACTCGGCTTTCGTTCCTCAGGCTGCGTAGAGGGGGCATAAGGGAGCCTGACTGGCGAGAAGCTGGGCAGCTAAAGGGTCCATAAAACTCCCCGCCCATTTCCCAGGTAGCATTGAAGACGCCAAAACTATGAGGCATTCATTCCTCGGGCTGCGTAGAGGGGACATAAAGGAGCCTGACTGGCGGAGAAGCTGGGCAGAAAAAGACTTATATGTGAAAAATTACCTGAAAAGCTGTTCATGAAAACACTGCAGACACTACAGTGATTTCCCTGCTGGAGCGAAGAAAACGGAAAAGATTCACACTATTCTTAGTCTAAAACATCAATGGCCCACGTGAACCTCAGTCTCTATGACAGTGATACCAGAACGAGATGGTGCCTAGTTATCATTGCTGATTGCTCTGAATGGAACTGTGGTGGTTAGAGAAGACAGAAAATATGGCAAAGAAGAAACAGAAGAAGCAGAGGATGGAATCCAAGCAGCAGGTAAGTCAGCAGACGTCCACAGTTGCCCTGTCCAGCAGGAACCAATGAAGTTCTACGTCTGCAAAGGGCATAGTTATTCTTTTTTTTAAAATTATTATTAAATTTTACTAGTTTTAATAAGCTCAGGAGATGCTAAGGCTATTAAACTAGAGAACAAAGGAAAAGGGGCTTCTCCCCTCTCTCAGTTGAGGATAGACCCAACCTCCCCTCTTGAGTGTGTTTCTTTCTTTCTTTACTTAATAAAGTTTACTCGGTCTTTGTTCCTTCTGCCTGTGCTACATGCCTTCATTCCATTCACCATTCCAGTGTGTCCTATCTAGACACCGCCTGGCTAATAAACAGACGGAGAAACTTTAGTGCTCTACCATTAGGGCTGGGAAACTCTGACAACGCTAATAGGAATCACAATCAAAGATCTGTGATACTGTGGGAGAAAAATATGGAAATCATTCAAAATATTGAAGAAAAAGATGATGAGACTGGAGGAACCCCCAAGACTGTGGCTTTTAGTCACCCTACAAGCTGGAAGCAAAATCATCTGCATGTCTCAATTCCCAGCCTCACAACAGATAGACCTATACAGTGATTAGCAACACCAGAGAGGAAGGCATTCAGAAAAGCATGGTGGGAGATTAGAGACAGCATTTATCCAGGAATAAAGGTTAGTTAGAATGGTATCCGAATCATAAACAATATGCCTCCTGAAACTCTATGAACTTTGATAAATGTTGATAGAGAAAGGCTTGGAGTGGTATCTACTTCTTAAACAACATGCCTCAGGAAACTATGAACTTTGATAAAAATTAATAGTTGTAGAGGGGCTTCAGGCCTTTTGTTCATAGGGTTACTATGGGTCATGCTCAACTTGACGGCAATCATCAACAATACCAACAAAAGTTAGAAGGCAAGAAGGAAGAAGATAGGAGGATGGATGGAAATGGTGGGCACAGAAAAGAAGGGTGAAGAGCATGGGTTCAGTGTGCAGATTGTAATTCATGCCACAAAATAAAATGTGTACAAATTACTGACTGAAAAGCCAATCTGCTCTGTAAACTGTTATTAAAATAAAATAAAATATTTTAAAAGTAAAATAAAACATTAGGGAGCACTACTACTCTAATAAACAAGGGGTCATCTTGAGTCAGAATCTAAAACAATTGAAGAGAGTGGTATTTCACAAAGGTTCTAGATTTTAATCTGTAACATGTACCAACTGAGTCCAGTACCCAAGTTTTATGTAACTAGCATTTTCTTTTTTTTTTCTTTTTTTTAGCATTTTCTTGATAAAAGTTATTCTATCTGCCGTTTTCTCAATGACTTCTCTCTGTGCAGTGTATCTTTAATCCTGGTGAGAATAATCTTTTCTAATGTGTTTGCCATTATACTAGTGGTATTCCTTTATGTTTCAATCATGTTTGTAGGTACTCTTTTGTGAACTTGTATTAATTCCTTTAAAAAATTGGGTAACATTAATTGGCCACCTTAATGTTCTGTATTTTCTCCTTTCCATTGAATTCTTTTATTAAAAATTTTTGTTTTATTCCAACTTCTTCTCAGAATTCATATTTTCAGGTGGTTCATTGCATCTACTTTGCCTCAGTCTTTGATAAGGTGCAGTGAAAACCAGGTAGTTTCTTCAGGGTGACTGAATCCCTCTTCTGCCTCCTCCCACATTCTCTTTTGTACTGCATGACCCTGACTCACAGCAATCTCTTCTTGCCGAGGTCTGCCACGTGAATTTAGAAGGGCAGCCGTTCTACTCCAAGAAGGACAAACCCCTGTGTAAGAAGCACGCACACGCCATCAACGTGTAGAGTCGGGGTGCCTGGTGCCAACAAGACCTGGGAGCTGTGCCTGCTGCTGGCAATGAAGGATTCCTGGAGGCTACTTCTGGGGGGAAAGAGGGAAGGCAGGAAGCCATTGAGCCCCTTTGAAGTATAATTTTAGACCTTTCTTCTGTACACAGATCGTGTATTTACATAGTTCAGACTAGAAGCCAAATGAACATTCTAAGTCAAGCTAGTAATTAATCCAAGACTGGAATTGTACTTGAAATGCTTAGGACAGAATTCTAAGAAGTCAAAAGTGAAAAACAAAAAGAAACTTTCCCAAAGTGATAGACCAGGGCTGCTACAGAGCTCAGATCACTGCTGGTGAACCTCTGACTCAGGAGGCCTTTCCAGCCCCTCTGGCACACACGGCAGCTCCATCCAGTACTTGATCCTGTACTTGCTTGCAGGGTATTTTTAGAGCCAGAGTGAGAGCTTGTTAGCTAAGACTCACCAAAAAAAGAAGTGTTATTCCATTACTAACGTCATGGAGCTGCTTCTGCGAATCGGCCTTTAGGCCTTCAAGTGGACAGGCTTGCAATGTTCTCTTTGGAGCCTGGATATCCCAAAAGAATGTAGGACTGAGGACAGCCAACTGCTGTGTCTTGGAAGTCACAGGGTGATTGGGAGGGCTGTAAAAGGTCTCTGGCTTGCACAGCAGACCGCCTCCCTGCCAGGCTCTTCAGCTGCCCCTGATGATTTGAAGGAGCCCATGTCACAAGGCTTAGCTCCTTTTTCCCCCCCCACATGTACATTTCAATGCCATTGATGACATTTTTCATTGGTTACATAACTCCAGTTGTGCAGCCATTCTCACCCTCCTTTCCTGATCCACTCATTAGTGGGAACTCTCTGTCCCTACTGTACCTATCCAATCCTTCAAGTTGCTTTTGTCAGTTTGGTTCCATATAGCTAGATCTTGAAAGATCATAATGTTCAAGACAGACATTCTTTACTAGTTAAGCTAAAGTATTGGTTTGGCTTTAAAAAGACTTCAGGAAATATTTTTAGTGCAAGATTTAAGATTATTTTAGGACAGTAATTTTGGAAATTCATTCAGTCACCTTGGCTCCAGAATTCTGGATTTCATGAAAATTTAAAATTCTGTTCTGCATTTCTCCCTTTTGATCGGTATTCTTCTATAGAATTCTTGATTAAAATGTTCTGTAAGGATAGGTCAGCTCCACTTTGTATTGTAATGGGAACGTGGAATTGAGTTTTTCCCATTGTACTTTGCAAAGTGGGAGAACATTTTTAAAAGGCTGGCTTTTGCTTGCCTTTTGTTTTCCTTTAAGAGGTTCATTAGCATGAGTATCCAGTTCTATGCATGGAATTTACACCCACTCTAAGACTGCTCCCCTGGGAAATGTTCCTCAGGAGTCTCCTCATCGCCCTCACTCCAGCTGACTTGGAGACCTGCAGAAAAGGAGACCTCATGTGAAACAGAATGACAGAAGGGGCTGAGAACAGGCCCACCCACGTTCTGGGTGGAGCAGAGAACTCATCTCACCCCAGCACTCATGCTTCCCAGGGGTTCCTTTAAATGCAGCACATCTATTATGCATCCTTGTGTTGACTGCTGGAAGAAAAAAATACAATGACATATATGCATTTGTCCAATGTTTTGAAAATTAGTGAACTAAATTGATCTAGCAAATGCTTAAGTATTTAAAGTAGACTTGGATCTTCAAGTTTCTTTGCCATTATTAGTGGTAGTCTCTGAGTTAGGTAAGCATTACAAAGCTGTTTGATGATAAAAAGAGAAATTTAATTGCTGAGAATGTAAATGCCATCATTTCTCTTCTTTTAAGTAAGTGCTATTACTAAGCTTGTTGAACATGGCACTGGAGCTCTGGTGTTGTAGTGTGTTACATGTTAGTCTGCTAAATCCACTGGCCAGTCCAAGGGAGAAAGGTGGGCATTCGTCCCCCATAAGATATAACAGCATCAGAAACTTACTGGAGGGTTACTAGGGGTTTGAATCACCTTGACATCAGTGAGGTCGGGCTTTGGTTTATTATTATGCCCATTGAAAATGGTGCAGAAGTAGGCATTTTGAATTATTTCTCATTCAGACACAATACTTTGAAGTAGTAGTCCAACTTACTGTGACTCACCTCCCTCCTGTTTGGAATGTTCTCTTTGTGTGTTTGCGGTATTTTCTGGGAATACATTAGAACTCTTCCTTCTTCTAAGGATTGAGGCTTCAAGGGGGTTAGTTTTCAGATGCATATTGTGTCTACCTCTCAGACACCGAATTCTCTCAGATAAGGAGTTCCCAACAGAAGGCCTGAGTTTGTCTCCTAAAGTGCAGTCACCAGCTTCCCTCAGAGATTGAGAGGACCCAGCCTGTGCCCTTGGTGCAATGAGGAAGTGAACACAGAAAAGAAGACAGAAAAAGCAGATTGATTTTTTTTTTCAGGAATTGCAAACAAGTACCTCAGAGCATTCTGTTGTTTTTGGAAAGTTCCAATACACGGAACAAGGAGGTTCCTGACTGTAGAGAGGCCTTAAACAGGTGTTCTTCTAGGAAAAATATGAAATGATTAGGACTGTTCTCAAGAAAGAAAAGTTCCTCAGAGTTAAATTTCGAAAATCTTTTTAAAAAGGTTTACACACACACACATGATCACACACAAAAAAAGAGTCAAATACCTTAAGAAATGAGAACTTTATTATAGTCATTGGTTGAAATATATGCTTTTTAATATCTCTGAAATAATGTAAATTCTGAGACACTGCTTTTTAAAAAAATGAATCAAAAGAAAAACCCACTTTGACAGTAGTGAGAGAAGGAAGTATTGTGGGTCACTGATTATGGTGAGCCTTGCTTAGTGTTAGGATGAAAGTTGTATCTATTTCAAGTTCCTATCTTCACTGTCTCATAACATCAAACAATTAAATTGTTCATGGTGAGTAAGTAGCTTTGGATAATTCTTATTTCCTCAGTATTAAGTTTAATATTTATAAACTTAACTTTTTGCAACAGAATGACCTTGTTTGCAGTGTTTATGATAGAAATTTAGCTTTTATAATGTTACATTTTCAACCCACGTGCACTTGCTTTGGGACTTCCCCCCCCCCCACCTTTTTTAAGATGGAATGCAGTGTTAGAGCTATATACAAAATGACTTTGCATGTTTTTGGTTTGTTTGACCTGTGTGAATTTTACTTTTTAGGAAAATAAAAGCAAAAAAGAATGTTCGAATACACATTTTAAAGTGTATAGTTTTTTCATGTGACAGCATTAGTGAGTTACTTTTATATGGGGGTAAATAAAAGTTTGCAACAAAACACAAAGTCCTATTGAGAAAAAATAGAGTGCATTGCTTTCATAACTATATGCTCAACAGCAGGGTTTTTTCTCTCTTTTAAAAAATTTATTATTAATTTCAATGAAAATTTACTGAGAATTTGGATTTCCATTCATTGTTGCACTTTTCTCCCTCCCAACCCTCCCCACTAATACACTACCCTCTTGGAAAAGTAAAAGAAAAATTCTATCATTGTTTTACAATCCCTCCCCCCAGGTCCACTCCACTATGCAGCCTTCGCCCTGGACTTCTATCATGACAAAAATACCTAATCACATATCCCTTTTAAACAGTTTACTCCCTCATCTGTTTCAATGCATTATACATTATTGAACCCATCTTTCTCAGTTTCCCCCCAACCCTGAGGTCAGTACTGTTTTACAACAGTGGCACCATGCAGTATTTGTCCTTTTGTGACTGAGATACTTCACTCAGCATAATGTCCTCCAGGGTCACCCATTTTGAATTAAATATTGTGTGAGTTCCTTGTTTTTCAATGCAGTGTTGTATTCCATTGTGTGAATATACCACAACTTCTCTATCCATTTTGTTTGTTGATGGACACTTAGGTTGTTTCCAACTCCTTGCTATTATGAACAAAGCCCCAATAAACATGGGTGTGCATATATCTGCTTGGGTGTCAGTTATGGTCTCTTTGGGGTATATTCCCAGTAGTGGAATTGCTGGGTCAAATGGTATTTTTATTTGCAACTTTTTGAGAAAGTGCCACAATGCTTTCCACAGTGGTTGCACCATTTTACACTCCCACCAACAGTGAATAAGGGTTCCAGTTTCTCCACAACCTCACCAGTATTTGTTGCTTGCTGTTCTGTTAAATTTTGCTATTCTGACTGGGGTGAGATGATATCTTATAGTTGTTTTGATTTGCATCTCTCTTAGAGCTTTGGATTTTGAACATTTCTTCATGTGCTTGTTGGCCATCTGAAAGTCTTCTTTGGTGAAGTGTCTGTTCATATCCTGTGCCCATTTTTCAGTTGGGTTATTTACTTTTATCTTGTTGTGGTGCTCAAGTATTTTATAAATTCTGGATATAAGTCCCTTATCTGATATGTCATTATCAAATACTTTTCCCCAGTCTGTGGCTTCCCTTTTTACCCTGTTGGAGAAGTTTTTTGATGTGCATAGGGATTTGATTCTTAGAAGGTCCCATTCATCTATTTTATCCTCTCCTGGTTGTAGGTTCAATGGCAGTTTTAATTGCCTTCCATAAACATTAAACTGAAGACCAAATCTTGGCTTATATTTTGGGAAAGGCAGGGGAAGACCCTCAATGAGATGTATGACACAGTGACTGTAATGGTGGGCTTGAGATGCCAGTGATTGTCAGGATGGCACAGGACAGAGCAGGTTTCAGACCCATTGTTCAGCAGACACCTAAGAACAACATGGTCATCAGAGGGACCCTCTGAAAGATTAGCAGTTCAAAACTGCAACAGGCAAGAAAGCAATAAAAGAGACATTTCTTTAATAATATTTTGAAAGGGAGAAGTGTCCTTTTATTCTAGAAGGACAATGGAAGAAGGATTCTGTATCAGTCTGGAGGCCTCACTCACCAACTCCTTGACACCAAGGCAGAACTGACCCATAGCTGACCCTCCAGCAGGTTTTCAGAGAGGGTAAATCACATAGGAGGAGACTGCCTATAGAGCA